CTCAAGGCGAGCGCTCTACTGCTTGAGCCACAGCACCACTTCCGATTTTCTAGTGGTTTTATTAGGGATAAGAGTCTCATGGATGTTCCTGCCCGGGCTGGCTTTGAACCACGATCCTCAGATCTCAGCCTTCTAAGTAGCTAGGACTACAGATGTGAGCCACCGGTGCCGGCTTCCTGAGCTTCTTTTGCTCAAGCCTAGCATTCTACCACTTGAGCCACAGTGCCACTTCTGGCTTTTTCTGCTTATATGGTACTGAGGAATTGAACCTAGGGCTTCATGCATGCAAGGTAACCACTCTACCACAAACCACCTTCCCAGCCCTTGAATTGTTCTTGAAATCAAAATCATTTTTTTCTCTAGTACTGGGCTTGAATTCAGGGCCTCTCTCATTCTTGCTTGGCTTTTTGTTCAAGGCTGGTGCTCTACCACTTAAGCCACTGCTCCAATCCTGGGTTATTTTTGCTGGTTAGTCGGTGATAAAAATCTCTGACTTTTCTGCTGGCTTTGAACCACAATCTTCAGGGGTTAGCCTTCCTGAGTAGCTAAGATTACAGATATGAGCTACCAGCGTCCAGGGAAGTTAATTAAATCTTAAAATCAAATGTCAAATATATCATTCTAGGAATCACTCTCAACTGTTTGTAGTGATGATAGATTAGAGATTTGTAGGTGGTGCCTCCGCAATTCAAATGTCTTTTGGACACAGGGACAGTGTTGTCTACTTTGGTTTCACAGGTTTTAGTGCCTGGCCATCTTTCACACCAATATTATACAGGAAGGACGTTCCTCTGCTACACATTTTATTAAACATGATCCTCTATCATGAATTGTTTTAAAGGATTCAAGGAAGCGGATAACCTAGCAAGATTTTAATTTCAACCAGTCATAATAGAGCTTAGTTATTCCTAAGTTGTTCAGGTTATAAAAGACACACTTTTTTCAGGCTCTGGTGCTCACACCTGTGATCCTAGCTACTCAAGAAGTCTGAGATCTGATGATCACAATTTGAAATCAGTCAGGCCAGGAAAGACTGAGACTTTTTTTTTTTTTAATCTTTAGGTAGTTGTACAAAGGAGCTGCCATTTAACAAAGCAGTTTGAAGACAGTATATCTTGACCAGTCACCCATTCTTCCCCTACCCACCCTTTCCCTCATTCTTCTTAATTTTGTAGGAAATACACTGGATTCTAGTCTGCATTTTCCTCCTCTTCTCTTCATTTAGTTCACCCCTTCCTCTTAACCCCACCCCACCCCTTTGGAATAGCTCTTTTCTGGTGTCTTATTTTGCTGAACTTTGATTCTGCCTTTCTTTTTTTTTTTTTTTTTGGTCGGCTGTGGGGCTTGAACTCTGGGCCTGGGCGCTGTCCCTCAGCTCTTAAGCTCACAAGGCGAGCACTCTACCACTTGAGCTACAGCGCCACTTCCGGTTTTCTGGTGGTTTATTGGAGATAGGAGTCTCACAGTCTCTCTGCCCGGGCTGGATTTGAACCGCGATCCTCAGATCTCAGCCTCCTGAGTAGCTAGGATTACAGGCGTGAGCCACCAGCGCCCGGCTTGATTCTGCCTTTCTAAGAAATTACAGTATTTGAGTTCTCCTTTGAACCTACTTTGTTTCAGTCAATACATTTATATACATTTACACACCACCCAAAACAACAAACCAGCCAGGTGCTAGTATATATTTACTTATCAATTGTTTTTGAGGCAAGTTCTTGTTATGTGATTAGAGCCACATATGCTAGAGCACAAAAGTGCAGGGACAGTACCCAGACCCTGAGTTCAAGCCCCAGGTCCAGTGCACGCTCTCTCTCTCTCTCTCTCCCCTCAAACATTTCAATTTAATTATGCATATGTGAAGAGCTTGGATACATTTGCTAGCATAAAATATCTATTAATCATGTTCAGTGTTGGTGATATTATATTTAAGTTGCTAAGGTTCTTTGAAACATGTCAGTATGTATCATGAACAGTATATTCTCAGACTCCTTGATCTAATTCCTTTAATTTATAAGTATTTTAACTTTTAATGTAAAAATATGGAAAGAATATGCATGAATATTTCCTTCACAATATTTTTATGGTAATGAAAAAAATGAATAGTTTGAATATAAAAAGGATTTAAATAGGGCTTGAACTTGGGGCCTGGGCACTGTCTCTGAGCTCTTTTACACTCTACCACTTTGACCCACAGTGCCACTTCTGGTTTTCTGGTGGTTATTTGGAGATAAGAGTCTCACAGACTTTCCTGCCTAGGCTGACTTTGAACCATGATCCTCAGATCTCAGCCTCCTGAGTAGCTAGGATTATAGGCATGAGCCACTTGCAGCTGGCTTTTACTTATTTTAAGTAAAATTTCAATTCCACAAGCCAGATTATGAGTATAATGGATCTTGATAAATGTAATATCCATTGTGATAATTATTAAAAGATTTATTGGAAAGACTGCCATATGAATATAAATAATAAGCTAGAACTTATAGCATAAGTATTTAAATGTGTGTGTGTGTGTGTGTGTGTGTGTGTGTATGTTAGTACTGGAGGTTGAAGTCAGGGCTTGTACACTGTCATTTAGCTTTTTCAGTCAAGGCTGGTGCTTGACCACATGAAGTAAAGCTCTACTTCTGGCTTTTTGGTGGTTATTTGGAGATAATGGTCTCATGCATTTTCCTGCCTCAGCTGCCTTTGAACAGGGATTCTCAGATCTCAGCCTCTTGAGTAGCTAGGATTACAGGTATGAGCCACTGCTTGACATGTTTTATATTTCTGTTATTGCTGAATTCACACTGCATATATATGCATGTATGGAGAGGGGAAAGGGAATACACAAAAGATAATAATTGTGCTAGTATTATGGATTTTTTTCAAAAATTTCTCGAGAGTTTTCTAAAATTGTTAGATGCTTAGAACTTCTAAAGTCAACAGTTAAATGTTCAAAGTTAGTTTAAATTTTGGAAATATTTGCTTAAAAATTCTAAAGTCTTAGAATCACAACTTATTGGCAGTCCATGCTGAAATGGTACCTAAAAATTTCTGTTTGCTAATGGCTGGCTGTTGGCAGACAAAGTAAACTTTGTAGCTAAGCAAATGTCAGTTGTTGCTATAGCACTTCTCAAGTTAAAGCTATGTGATAATTGGCAGGGGTAATCTTGTGTAAATGTGAAGCTAAATCAAGGGCAGATTAGGAAAAGGAAAATGTCAACCCTCTCAACAGCGATTTGGAAGACACAGAAGCAGAGGGAAGAACACACTAATAATGATGATGAAATCTGGCAAGCCAGAGTTTGCTGCTGCAGGGCTATTGCAGATCAAGAGTAGAATTTGTTTTTGTTTGTTTTTTTAAAGCTTTCTGTGCAATGCCTTGACTTTAGGCCACCTATAAGATCTGGGGAAGCAGGTAACACGAAGGTTAGTGGAGAATGAAGACTTAGGACTAATTCTAAATGTGATGGAAAGACTCCTCAAGCTATTTTAAAAGCATTATTTAAAATCTATGTTGAGCTGGGTGTGGTAAAGTATGCCTGCAATTCCAGCACTTCGGAGGCTAAGGCAGAAGGATCACAAATTTGAGGACGGCCTTGGTCTACATAGGAAGACGTCTCACAAACAATCCTAGCTACTCAAAGAGGCTGAAATCTGAGGATTAAAAGCCAGCATCGAACCAGCCTTTATAGGAAAGACCATGAGACTTACCTCTAATTAACCACCAAAAAGTTGGAAATTGGAATTTGGCTCAAATGGTAGAGTGCTAGGCTTGAGTGGAAAAAAAACTAAAGGACAGTGCCCAGGCCCTGAGTTCAAGCAAGCCCCAATATTAGCAGAAAAGAACCCCTGCTAATCCATAGTCTACATAAGTTAACTGTAAAGGAAATGAGAGGAAGAGATGAACTGTGTAGTCTCTGCAATACACCAAGACTTTATTATATAAAATTACCCAGAGTAGCAGGATACCCGTGGCTCACACCTGTAATCCAAGCTACTCAGGAGGCTGAGACCTGAGGATCGAGGTTCAAAGCCAGTCCAGGCAAGAAAGTCTGTGAGACCCTTATTTCCAGTTAACCACCAGGAAACCAGAAGTGGTGCTGTGGCTAAAGTGGTAGAGCACTAGCCTTGAGCTGAACAGCTGAGGGACAGTGCCCAGGCCCAGAGTTCAAGACCCACGACTGACCAACAAAGAAAAAAAAAAAAAAAAAGAAAGAAAAGGAAAAAAAAATTACCCAGAGTAACGCCCAGAATGTATTTTACCTCAAGAAATTATTTAAACATATTCTATTAATTTATAAGATGAGTTTTTGGTGTTCCCTGATAGACCTGCTACACAGTATTGATAATCAGGTTTTAGTGGATTATTTTGATGATAGACCCGATACTCAGTATTGATAATCAGGTTTTAGTGGATTATTTTGACCACGTGGCCAGGTTAAAAAAAATATAAAGGTATTGAGGAGAACAAGTAAGTTTAGAAATGCAAATTCTGGGGCTGGGAAGGTGGCTCAGTGGTAGAGCACTTGCCTTGCATGCCTGAGGCCCTGGGTTCGATTCCTCAGCACCACATAAGCAAAAAGAAGAAAGCTGGAAGTGGTGCTGTGGCTCGAGTGGTAGAGCACTAGCCTTGAGCTGAAGAGCTGAGGGACAGCGCCCAGGCCCAGAGTTAAGGCCCCATGACCAGACCCCCCCAAAAAAAAAAAATAGAAATGCAAATTCTCATGCATTCAAGGGACTTGAACTGCAGAGGGTAGCAGATTATCAAAAACTGTCTCCATATCCTTTGGAATGATGGGTTAATAAAGTAAGACTTTATAATAGCTCATCACGAAATAAAATTCCCTCAAGTGTTTTCACTGTCCTAGGCTCCTAGGCAACTGAGATGTTGTCGAGCAATTATATCTATCTATCTATCTAATTTCACATACACAAGTATTTCCAGTCAGCAGACAAGACTACAATGTTTTATTTTTGTTCCCATCAACATGAGAGAACTCAAGATTTTTAAAAAATTAACTTGTTATTATGAAGGTGATGTCCAGAGGGATTACAATTACATGAGTCAGGTAATGAGTACATTTCCTTTCTTACTGAATTCATATTCTTGAAAAGTTTTTCTTGTTCCGGAAAATACCACCATCTCTTTACTATAGGGATAACAGGCCTTTGTGACATAGAATTGCTGAAAAGCTTGCAGACCCCGTCCTAGGAAATGCCTCAGCATCATCTGATAGACCGGCAGGTGCCTGGGCGTGTTTCCTATTCAATTCACTAACCACACAGCCTCCGAGCTGGCGGGCTTGCGTCTGCGCAGCAGCAACGCTGGGCCTGGAGGAGAGGCTGCAGTGCGGAGACCCCCCGCAGCTGTCTCCTCCAGGGAGGCGGGGTGGGGGTGGCCTTGCCTGGCTCTCTCCTCCAGGTGTACCCAGGGTCCAAGCGCGCGGCCACCGCCGCCGTCTAGGTGTGGTTCAGCCCCTCTTCAGTGCAGGGGGCGGGCGGGCGGAGTGCGGGGCGCACGACGCCCCCGTCCCCGTCCCCGTCCCCGCCGTCTCATTTGCGGCCTCTGACGCGTGACCCCGCCACGCTCGCGTCCCGGGCCGGTGCCAGGCGCGGGTGCGTCCGGCGCCCCCATGTGCCTCCTCCCGGCGGCCGCACTCGCCGCGCCCCGCATCCCGCTCCGGCTCCTCGGGAGAGGGCGCGCCGCCATGTCCACCGCACAGCCACTCAAGTCCGTGGACTACGAGGTGTTCGGCCGAGTGCAGGGTAGGAGCCGCCTTGCAGTGCGAGACCCACATAGGGCCCGGGGAGGGAGTGCAGAAAGTTAGGAGGAGAACCTTCCATCTTGTGAAGGCCTCTTCCTCTAGGGCGGGACTTCCGCTCAGCCATGACACAGCAAGCGCGGGTGGGAAAGGAGGCGAAGTGCGCATGCGCGGAAGCTGGGCTCGGCCGGGGAGAGAAGGGAGAGGAAGAGCTGGGCCCACGGGTGGTGGAAAGCGGGGCGGGGAGAGGAGGGCCTGGGGCGGAGGGCTGCTGGGAGCCTTGGCCTTGCGGGTCCAAAGGGAAAGGTTACAAAGAGTAGGAAAACTCAACAATCAAGTTACTTCGAACAAAATGAGTACTTAGAAGCGGACACGTGGGGCGGCGGTGCGGGCAGATGGGAGGAAGAGTGTGCGGGCAGAGACAACGTGCAGTGTGCGGGGGGTGGCGGTGCGGGCAGATGGGAGGAAGAGTGTGCGAGCAGAGACAACGTGCAGTGTGCGGGTGGGGCGGTGCGGGCGGATGAGTGGAGGGAGGAAGAGTGGGCGAGCAGAGGCAACGTGCAGTGTGCGGGCGGGGGACGGTGCGGGCGGATGAGTGGAGGGAGGAAGAGTGTGCGAGCAGAGACAACGTGCAGTGTGCGGGGGGGGGGGGAGGGGAGGGGGACGGTGCGGGCGGATGAGTGGAGGGAGGAAGAGTGGGCGAGCAGAGACAACGTGCAGTGTGCGGGGGGGGGGGCGGTGCGGGCGGATGAGTGGAGGGGAGGAAGAGTGGGAGAGCAGAGACAACGTGCAGTGTGCGGGGGGGGGGCGGTGCGGGCGGATGAGTGGAGGGAGGAAGAGTGCGAGCAGAGTCAACGTGCAATGTGCGGGGGGGGGGGCGGTGCGGGCGGATGAGTGGAGGGAGGAAGAGTGGGCGAGCAGAGGCAACGTGCAGTGTGCGGGGGGGGGGCGGTGCGGGCGGATGAGTGGAGGAGGCGGTGCGGGCGGATGAGTGGAGGGAGGAAGAGTGGGCGAGCAGAGGCAATGTGCGGGGGGGGGGGGCGGTGCGGGCGGATGAGTGGAGGGAGGAAGAGTGGACGAGCAGAGTCACAACGTGCCACGTGCTTACGAGAAAAGGGACCCAGTGAGGGGGTGGGGGGCTTGGGAGAGAGGGGGTGATCTGACTTGAATCGAGGTGTGTCGTACAGGGCTGGGAAGGTGGCTCAGTGTAGAGCGCTTGCCTAGCATGCATGCAGCCCTGGGACTGCTCAGCACCACATACACAGAAAAAGCTGGAAGTGGCGCTGTGGTTCAAGTGGTGGAGCACTAGCCTTGGGCACAGAGAGGCTCAGGGACAGCGCCCAGGCCCTGAGTTCAAGCCCCATGACTGGCAAAAAAAAAAAGGAAAAAAACAAACGTGCATTGTACTCCTAAATTGACATGTGAAATTGAAACCCTTTTTTTGTAACTATTTAAAGATTATTAATTTAGTTATTTTGCCAGTCCTGGGGCTTGAACGCAGGGCCTGGGCACTGTTCCTGAGTTTCTTTAGCTCCAGGCTAGCACTCTACCACTTGATCCACATTGCCAGCCCCAAAATAATTTTTACAGTTAAACGAATTTTTAAAAAATGGAGAGGAAAATAACAGAAGGTGTTTAAACTACTTGCCCTGTTGCTTGCCATTGAAACTACTTGGGCTTGACTTGAAAATTTTAGGACATTGAAATAATATTGACAGTTCTTTTTCAAGGTTACAGAGACATCTCAATTCTTAAAAGAAGTGCTACCTAATTTACATTTCATTACTTAGTTTAAAAGGTGGTAGTGGCTGACTTATTGGAAGTAATAGTTATAAATTGCAACATTAAATCACTCCTTGAAATTTATCCAATGGAAGTAAATACTGTGGTTATTAATATTCACTAATTCATTTAAAATAAAGGTTTCTAACTGGAAAAATTTACATCATTCTTGAATTGAATCTGATGTTCTATATATCCTCAGAGAATTTTATCCTATTGATGTGCTTGAGAATTTCTTATTGCTTACCCTGTTAGAATTTTCTGCAATCTGCATGATACATGAATATATGCATGGACATGGATGTTCATAAAATAGAGAACTATATCTCTTTTTCTGGTCATTTGAACTTAAGGTCTGGGTGCTGTCCTTGAGTTCTTTTTGCTCAAGGCCAGCGCTCCACCACTTTCAGCCACAGTGCCACTTCTAGTTCATTGGAAATAAGAGTCTCATGGACTTCCCAGCCCAGGCTGGCTTTGAACCATAGATGATCCATAGATCTCATAGATCTGAGTAGCTAGGATTACAGACATGGGCCACCAACACCCAGCTCAGGTACATTTTGTTGTGGACAAAATCACCCATTCCTTTGCTCAGTTCCAGCTTTTTGCTGGTGAACTTGAAATAAGAGACTCGTAGATCCTCAGATCTCAGCCTCTCTCAGTGGCTAAGAATATAGGCATGAGCCACCAGTGCGGGGCTCCATTATACTTCTGGTTTTGGTTTCCATCTATCCATTCTGCTTTTCTCTGCATTAGTTATTTAAATACCTGTAATATACACAGGACTGTGTCTCTCACTAAATGATAGATACAATATTTTAAAGGTCAGGCTGGTGTCTTGTTCTCTTCAGGGCTGTGCCTCTGGTGAGACTTTCAGTAGGTCTTAAATTACACTGAAATGCCTGGAGATAGCTCTTAAGAAGGAATAGTGATACAGGGCTGTTTTAACTATTTGAATGATGCCATGTGTATGGCTCCTGGGACCAGATCTTGGGTCACGGGGAAATATTGAGTGAGGCAGAATTTTATTCCTTATAAGCAAAGCTTTTCTAAGAGTGAAAGACATTAAAAAATCATTAAGGAATGCTTTTTAAGCTAGTGGCTAGATTACCTTCTGCACACAAAATGTATATATGCAGTCAGGTCCTAGATGAAGGGGTTTATCAGAATATGAAAATTCGATTTTCCATGCTGACATTTAAAAATTCATATGGTTTCTGGAAATAATGTTTCTTTGTAGATTTAAAGTAAATTTGCTTTGCAAATATTCACCTCAGGTTCCTACTGATCCATCTTTCCACAAAGTAAGGAATAGTTGCAGCTGACTGAATTTTGACTGTGTTGTCCAAGACTGAAAGGCTGATGTCTGCTCCAGTTTCCAGAGCAATGTGTCACATCAGCTTCTCTTCTCTTTAGCAAGCCAGGCAGAAAGCAGTGCGGAGCCCTAAAAGCCCATACAAAGCATCTTCTCCAACAGAGGCCCTGACCTGAGTGCTGTGCTCCAGTCAACACTGATAAACTGCACAAGTTTATCAAAAAGAACTTGGAATGTGTTGAGTGGGTGATGGAACTTGGAATACTTGCTTTCCAGATGGCACAGTGCTTCTCAGAATTAACAAGCTGGAGGTCTTGAGACTCCTTGACACACATTTCTTTTAAGGATATAAAATAGAGAGTATTTGAGGGACTCCATAAATACCACCCTTTTCTCTTATTTGAGTTGTTGAGAAGGAAAACAGGAGAGTGGAATTTTGGGAATGTGACTTTTAAAGATCTGTACTGTAGAATTAAACATCCCCACAAAGGTCTAATTCCTGGTGGTACCTTGCTCCCAGCCGAGGGAAAGAGAGGAAGCATCTGGCCTATTAGATAAGTCACTGTGTCCATGTGGAGGAGTCAGGGCAGGGTAGCTGGTAGCCAGGAATTCTTGTAATCTTATCTACTAAGGAGGCTGAGGTGAGGGGTGGAAATGTGGCTCAGTTGGTAGATTGCCAACCACTGAGCCAGGTACTGAGTTTGAGTTATGGTCTCTGACCTTAAAAAAAAGAAAAAGGGCTAGGAAGGTGGCTCAGTGGTAGAGTGCTTGCCTCGCATGTATGAGGCCCTGGGTTCAATTCCTCAGCACCATATAACCACATTAAAAAAAAAAAAAGCCGGAAGTGGGTGCTATGGCTCAATTGGTAGAATGCTAGCCTTGAGCTGAAGAGCTGAGGGACAGCGTCCAGGCCCAGAGTTCAAGCCCCATGACTGACCAAAACAAAGCAAAACAAAACAAAAAAAGGGCTGGGAATGTGACTTAATGGTAGAGTGCTTGCCTAGCATGCATGAAGTCCTGGGTTTGATTTCTCAGTACCGCATAAACAAACAAAAAGCCAGAAGTGGTGCTCTGGTTCAATTGGTAGAGTGCTAGACTTGAGAAAAAGAAGTTCAGGAACAGTGCCCAGGCCCTGAGTTCAAGCCTCAGGACTGGGGAAAACAAACAAACAAGACTAGTGATTTATGTCTACCTAATCAAGAGGCTGAGATCTTAAGAATTGCAGTTAGAAGCCATCCTGGGAAGGAAAGTTTGTGAGACTCTTATCTCCAATAAGCTAATCAGAAAAAGCCAGAAATGGAGCTGTGGTTCAAGTGGTAGAGCACTAGTCTTGAGCACAAAAGTTTCGGGTCAGAGCCCAGGCCCTGAGTTCAAGCACCAGGACTGGCACCAAAAAAAAAAAAAAAAAAAAAGAAAAGAAAAGAAAGGAGGCTGAGATCTGGAGGAACATGATTCAAGACAAGTCCAGGCAAAAAGTTCCTGAAACCCCCATCTCATCCAATGAAACCTGGGCTTTTATTGTCACCTCAGCTATGGTAAGAAGATTGTGTTCCAGGCCAGCATGGGGAAAAAGTGAGAATGTATCTAAAAATGGTCAAGGCAGGAAGATTGGACAGTGTGGCTTAACTAGTAGAGTACTTGTCTTGCAAACAGACCCTGTGTTCAAACCCTAGCTCAAAACGAAACAACCTACCAACTTATGAGGTCGGGCCCAAAGCCTCAGATTTTGTTGGTCTTTCCCTCAGGGGTTCAAAGTGGCTGTTACAACTCCAGTCATTAGATTCATATAAAGTCAAGAAGAGAAAGGATTCTGGTGCAAAGGAGTCCCTTTGGAAAAGCTTTCCCGAAAGCCTCAACCAATGACTTGACCACCCTATAGAAAAACCCCCTGAGAAACACAGGAGGTCACATTGGTTGCCACCAAATAAATCAGAGTTCTGTAAGATAGAAGAAGAGAATGAACTTTATATATGCAACCAGCAGTATCTGCCATAGGGGTGTGTGTGTGTGTGTGTGTGTGTGTGTGTGTGTGTGTGTGTGTGTGTGTGTGTGTGTGTGTGTGTGTGTGTGTGTGTGTGTGTGTGTGTGTGTGTGTGTGCGCGCACGTGCGCGCGCGTGCCCGTGCGTGCATGCATGTGCCAGTTGTGGGACTTGAACTTGGTGCCTGAGCTCTTTTGTTCAAGGCTAGCACTTTACCACTTTGAGCCACAGTGCCACTTCCTTTTTTTTTTTTTTTGAATAGTTAGTTGGAGTTAAAAGAGTCTGATGGGGGCTTTTCTCCCTGGGTTGGCTTTGAACTTTAATCTTCAGCCTCCTGAGTAGTATGAACCACTGCTGCCTGGCCTAGTCATAGGTATTTTTTAGTGAATAAATTTGTAAATATAATTGCTATGTTTAGTATCCTTTCTCAAATAGTGACTCCAAAAAGACACACTACAGAAAGACTGGTCTACATAGTTACAATCTCCAAATATCAGATCTATAGCCACTACAACTTAAATTTCAATTAATATGTATTGGGCTTTTTCACACAAGATGTATTTGTCTTTTTATCCCACTTGTCACTGTCTAAAGTCATGACTAATACTTATCTATTTTGTCAGTATGAGCTTAGCCTAAAATTAATCTAAATTAGCCTCTTAATTTTCAATGAATTCTGCAGTGCTACTATGTTAAGTAATTAAAAGAAGGGCTGGGTACAATGGCTCAAGTCTAGCTATTTGGGAGGTAAAAATCTGGGGTAATAAGGTTTGTTTGTGGGACTTGTCTCAGCTAGTAGCTAGGGGGCTGGGAAGGTGGCTCAGTGGTAGAGCGCTTGCCTTGCATGCCTGAGGCCCTGGGTTCAATTCCTCAGCACCACATAAGCAAAAAGAAAAAACCCAGAAGTGGCGCTGTGGCTCAAGTGGTAGAGTGCTAGCCTTGAGGTGAAGAGCTGAGGGACAGCACCCAGGCCCAGAGTTCAGGCCCCACAACCGGACCCCCCCCCCCCAAAAAAAAAAAGAATCAACTAGTAGCTAGGTGCAGTGTCTTGTGTTTGCTGTCCCAGTGACCCATACAAGCATCATAGTCCAAGCCAGTTTACTCATGAAGTAAGACCCTAAAAATAACCCACACAAAAGGGATGGCAGAGTGGCTCAAGTGGTAGAACACCAGCCTGGCAAGTACAAGGTGCTGAGTTCAAACCCCCAGTGCTGCCAATATGTGTGTGTAGTCTTATTAATCATAAGTACAAATACTTTTAGATTTAAAACTTTGGAAATTTAAATCAAATTAATACAGGAAGACTGATGATATAAATGATAACCACCATATCCTGTTTCAGTTTACTATTCCTGTTCCTAAGAGTCATATGAGACTAGCATTGAAGTATTTCTGTTTTTAATAATTGTGATTGTTATGTCTTTATGATTTGTATGTGTACTGTATATATACCTAATGTTATGAACATGGTTGGTGTCAGCTTACACATTAGTAACTCTTATAGTTATATTCATCATATATATCAATATGATATGCTTATATGTAGGCATATACATACATGTACATTATATTACCAGTTCCTATATAATATTTCTTAGCTAAAGCTTGGCCCAAATCAACATATAATTCTTGAGATTTTTTTTTTTTTTTTTGCCTGTCTTGGGTCTTGAATTTAGGGCCTGGGTGCTGTCCCTGAGCTTCTTTTGCTCAAGGCTAGCATTCTACCACTTGAGCCACAGCTCTCCTTCTAGCTCTTTTTGTAGTTTATTGGAGATAAGAATCTTGGGAATTTCCTGCCTGGGCTGGCTCAAATGGTCAAATGGTGATCCCCAGATCTCAGCCTCCTGAATAGCTAGGATTACAGTTGTGAGCCAGCAGTGCCTGGCTGTCTTGAGATTCTTTTGAATGTTGTAAATTGAGTTATCACCACTTAAATTCATCACAGAAACTTAAATTCTAACCAATATGGTGATATGTATATTAGTAATGTTATGAACAGTTATGTATTTTTCATAAATATTCGTCAGATAGTTTTTCCTTCATTCATTTATTCAACAACTATGTGACCAGCTCTGATCAAGATGTTGGTTGAACAAGACAGAAAAAAAATCCTGCTGTCATAGAATTCATAGTTTACCATGAAGACAGGGAATAAAACAAGAAAATAAGCTGGGTGCCAGTGGCTCATAATTGAATCTTAGCTAGTCAGGAGTCTGAGATCTGAGGATTGCAGTTTGAAGCCAGCCTGGGCAGTAAAGTGTATGAGACTCTTTATCTCCAGCTAACTAGCAGAGAGCTGGAAATGTAGGTTCAAGTGGTAGAGCACCAGTCATAAGTAGATAAAGCTAAGGGACAATACCCAGGCCCTGAGTTTAAGCTCTAGTACCAGTACCAAAACAAAAACAAAAATTATAAAACACAAATAAGTATATAATAATTGCATATAGTAATCAGTACTACACATGTGTAGGAAACATTGGGGGTGTTGTTTTGGGTAAATAAGGGATGTTTGCTACGGTGGTGACATTTGTACAGAGATGATAATCATAAGAAAAGGCTAGACCTGAAAAGATGAGGGGAGGAGCATTTCTGCAGAACAAACAGTTGATGAAAGACCATGAACAGGTACTCTCTTCGGCATGTTTAAGGGGCCCAAAGAGGCCCAAAGGAGTGAGTGAAGACCAAGGTGCTAAGAGATGAGGGAGAAGCATTGGTCAGGAGCACGGAGAACTTGGAAACCAGAATTTATTTTGTTTTGAGTATCATGGGCAGTCACTAAAGTGTTTGAAGCTGGGGGAGGAAGTGATATATTTTACTTAAGAAAACTAATGTGGTTGATCTCTGAAGAGTGCCTTGCAGGAGGCCTCCCTGGAAGCAGGGAGATCTGTTGAGGAAGTGCTTGCAATAGGTTGGTTGAAAGACTGTGGACACATAGATGTAAGGACGTTATTACTTATATAAACAGCTTGAGCAGAAGTGAACTACTTTTTTAGTAAGTCATAGTGAAATTTGAAAAGGTAAAGGTACAAAAGCTGACATTATTTCTTGTCTTTCTTTTATGCAGGTGTTTGCTTCAGAATGGTAAGTCAATACAATCTGTTTATTTTTGCCATTTTTCAGTTATTTTTAATCGCAGATATAGAAATTTTCTACATAATGTTAGTCTAGTTTATCTTTGACAGCAAATGAAATGCATGGATTGTCCTTGAATTTACTGATTGTGTTTTCTATTAAAAGTTAAAACACTGGTCTATAATAGCTAGGTGCTTGTGGCTCACATCTGTGATCATAGTTAGGAAACTCTATGAAATTCATATCTTTAATTGAGCACCAAAAAGCCAGAAGTGAATCTGTGATTCAAGTGGAAAAGTGCTAGCCTTGAGCAAAAAAGCTCAGAGACAGCTCCCAGTCCCAGAGTTCAAGTCCCCATGATTGGTACACACAATCCTCTCCCCGCAAAAAAAAAAACAAAAACAAAAACATAAAAACCCTACTCTATTAAAAACATTACAGGTTACCCAGCTTTTAGTTAATGTTTCCTGTGAATTTTAAAAGTATTCTCTCTTGGTGATTCAAGAGAAACATTTTCAGAGATATAATGAATATTAAGTATGAGACTTCCCAGATGTTCTGATAGAAAAAGGCAAATGTTATATATGGAAGGGTTCCCAGAATTTCTATAGTTAAAATTCTGTGTCTCTTTCTAAATTTTTACTTAAAATTAAAATTGTTTTCTAAAAGTTTTAACTGTGTTCTCAGTTACTATCTGAGCTGAGTCATTTTACTTCCAACCTCTGAAAGTTCCAGTGTGTTCCCACCAATGGAGTCTCTGTATTGTGAGATGGCTCTATGTTCCACAGTTCAGATTGCTTCCAATTTCATTTGTATTTTGATTGTTTTCAAACCAACTCTTCCTCTGTCTTAGCTGCAATCATTTTTGTTAGTGTGGCTTTACCCAGTTAAATCTTGATGGAGATCTTGGCCGTATTGACCTCCAAACAGAAGAGTGTCCTTCTGAAGCACTCTGGTGGAAGAGCTTTTTAGTGTGACATGATTAAAATAATGTAATCTCAACATGTTTCATTTTCATTTTCCAGAAGCATAACTGAATCTGAAACTGTGAAAAGGAATTTTGAAAAGAAAAACACCAATAAAACATATCTTCAGAATAATAGGTTAGATTAATTTGGCCAGAGATAATTACATGAGTTTGTGGCAAGTCCAGAACCAATTGAAAACACAACAGAATCTTTTAATCATGCAATAATTCTGACAACCAGCATGTCTGGACTAGTATTCTTATTAGTTTAATTTTCTTACTAAAATTATTTCCTCTTAACTTGGTTGGAAGTCTCAAGATGTTTTTGCTTCTGTTTTAACCTGTGCATGCTTTATGCTGATCATACTAGAATTTTTTTTTGTCAGTGATTGAGAATCTTGGATTACTTTTATTTTGTAATCCAGATTAACAATTCAATTCACAGTTAGCCAGTATGAGAGAAATCCAGCTGAATTTTATGAATTCCAAAATACATCATAGAAAGTATCTATGAAGTAATACCCAGTTTTAGTTGATTTACTTTCTAATATTATGCTTGTCTTTACTGAAAGTACAATTTCACAAAATATGCCATTTAAATGAAGGTTCCTATAAAGAATGATTGTTATAGCAATTGTTGGCATAGACTGTATTTGAGAAAAAAATGATCATCAGCTTAGCATTTCTTAATAATAGAACTGAGTAAATTATGAGTTCTGACTTTTGACGATGGACTCATGTCCCTTGTTTGCTCCTGAACCAGTACACAGAAGGTGAAGCCAAGAAAGTAGGAGTGGTTGGTTGGGTGAAGAACACCAGCAAAGGCACTGTGACTGGCCAAGTGCAAGGGCCTGAAGAGAAGGTCAATTCCATGTGAGTAGTAAGGCTAATGTGGGTGAATCTTTCCTAGCTATTTTAATATTTCATTGAGTAATAAAAACAGGGCAAGATTTAGTTTGTAGATTATAATTAAACCCACAGTCTCTAGGTAGGTTAGCAAGAAATTCACAGAGTTAGGGTGGCATTTCCTTGTTGAGGAGTAGACTTCCCAGTTGGGCAGGCTTTAAGAAAAGCTGTCATGGACTGGGAATGTGTCTTAGTGGCAGAGTGCTTACCTAGCATGCATAGAGCTTTAGGTTGGATTCCTCAGTACAACATAAAGAGAAAAAGCTGCAAGTGGCACTGTGGCTCAAGTGGTAGATTACTAACTAGCCTTGAGCAAAAGAAGCTCAGAGACAGTGCCCGGGCCATGAGTTCAAGCCCTAGGGCTGGTCAAAAAAAAAAAAAAAATCTGTCATTATCATTCCATAGTCTATTGAAGCCATCCTCCCTAGATTCCTCCAACATGTGCCCATGACCAGGGTCCACAGATTCTTCCTTTGAAATGTTGGAACAGAAAAACATAGGATCAGCTGGGTGCTGGTAACTCGTGCCTGTAATCCTAGCTACTCAGGAGGCTGAGATCTGAGGTTTGTGGTTTGAAGCCAGCGTGAGCAGAAAAGTCTGTGAGACATTTATCTCCAATTAACCCTGTAGAAACCTGGAAGTGGTACGGAGGTTCAAGTGGTAGAAAGCTGCCTGAGCACGAAGAGGCTCAAGGACAGCACCAGGCTCTAAGTTCAAGCCCTACAACTAACCAACCAACCAAAAAAAAAAAACAAAACATAGGCCCTTAATGATGGTTTTTCAAGGTCTTAAAGTAGCTTTTTTATTGTGTAAGCCCCTTATTTGTCTAATCGATATTTTATTTTTTACTTTTGATGAAGATGTGTTAATGGGACTGGGAAAGTTGCTTTGTGGTAGAGTACTTGCCTAGCATGCTTCAAGCCCTGGGTTTGATTCCTCAGTACCACATAAACAGAAAAAGCTGGAAGTGGTGCTGTGGCACAAGTGGTAGAGTGCTAGCCTTGAGCAAAAGAAGCTCGGGGACAGTCCTGAAGCTCTGAATTCAAGCCCAAGGACTGGCAGAAAGGAAGGAAGGAAGGAAGGAAGGAAGGAAAGAAGGAAGGAAGGAAGGAAGGAAGGAAGGAAGGAAGGAAGGAAGGAAGAAAATATGTTAATGAGCTGTATGGTTATGGTAACATAGGTCCTTGGAATCCAAGGGAGAGCAGATTAGTCATAGGGAAACCTTGCTCTGTGTACATTTCATTTTCAGCTTCATAATTTCCACTGCTTTATTTTTTTTTAATAAAAATAGTTTACATTTATTAAGTACTTATAGTATGTTGGGAAATATGGTAGGTACATTATATGAATTATCTTGGTTAATTTTTACAACAGGTCCTGTGAGGTAGGTACTAAGTAATACCTAATTCATTTTCTTGTTCATAAATTGCCTTTGTTTCATCTTCCCAGTATTTATTTTAAAGTGTACATTATTAGCCCTTAACGTACTTTATCCTCCCACTTTCCAAATGATAAAAACTGGTTTGGTCTTCTGGGTGGATATCTGAGGTTACATTCTTTCTATCTCTGTTTCACATATGCACAGCAGACACATAGACACATTTGGGCACATACATTTATATCTTTTGATCAATACATGTTTTTGAAAATGAAGTCATAGTGTTTACCCTTCTCTACATCTCACTTTCATCACTTGAAGACACATCTAGGAAAATCCCTTTGTGCCAGATGTGTAGCTTGAATTCATTCTTGTTAATGCCATTATTTATTTCCCTTGCAAGAAACTTTCTCCCTTCTCTTCCTTTCTTCCTTCCTTCTCTCCCTCTGTCCCTTTATCCCAACTCTATATAATAATGATACCAATGATTTTATATTAATATGAGTTACAATCCTAGGAGTGTTGATCTGTTGGTTGAATTATCTCTGTATTCCTAATGTAAACATACTCATCAAACTGCTTTAAAATAGCTGTAAATGTGTATTTCTTCATTCTGTTATCAATTGGTATTATTATTCTGTAAATCTTATTTGGTTAGCCATCAAGTGATGATTATTTTAGTGTAATTTGTGTTTCTCCAAATATTTCTGAATTTGAGCATTTTTAGGGCTGTGGCTAGTGGCTGGTATATTTGCTCTCATGAACTCTATTTTCTTTTTTTAAAAATTTTAAATTGTTATTTATATAGGTCAGGTAAAGAGTTAATTTCTTTTTGGACAATATCACCTTTCCCTTACTCTCTCCCAGTTTTTTCCTCCCATCCCCACCCGCAAGTTGTTTAGTTCATTTTCAGCGTTGTGTCTAGTGAGTACCATTGCTGCATTTGTTCACCCTTTGACACTCCAATTCCCTGTCTCTCCTTACACTTCCAAAAACATAAATGAACAAACAGGATAAAAAGAAAATGAAAAAAGAAACAAAGAAAAAAACCCTGTTCTTTCCCTTCATGAACTCCATTTTCAAGTCTTTCCCTGCTTGCCCCCTTGCCTCTTGCAAGTATTTTAGAGCTCTTTGCATCCTGGTAATGATGGATTAACTCACTGTTATATATTTTGCACAAATTTCACCAAATCTAGTGTTGGTTAGTTTTGTTTATGATAGTTTTTGTAGCATAAATTGCTTTTAACTTTTATGAACTCAAAGATGGCTATTTTCTTCTGGTTGAGAAACAGATTGTATCTTCTAGGTTTTCTTCTAGCTTCTGATGCTTTGTTAATTATGTTTAAGCATTGATTCCATCTGGAATTTGTTTCCAATTCATAATGTAAGGATAAGGGGATTGTTTCTACCTTATGGGTAGCAAGTTGGGTAGCAAGGCATCAATTACTAAATCTTCACTCTTCCCCCAGTCAACTTGAAATGCATTTTGTTAAATGTTACAGTATCAGCTAAACTACATTTTATTTTGGATTCTGTTCTCCACTGATCTATTTACCTATACCACACCAATATTCCATACGGATTTAATCACACAAGTTTTATAGTTTATTTTCTCCCATTCCTTTATCTGCTTTCTTAGGCCTTGTTTTCTCTACAGTTTATGATACTCTTAGCTCCTTAGTTGGAATTCTGTTACATTTTTGTTTTAAGGAACTTCCTTAGCTGGGTATAGTAACTCCTGCCTATAATCCTCCAACCTCTTGTGAGACAGAGATTGGGAGGATCAAAGTTAGAGGCCAGCTCCAGCCAAAAGTTCATGAGACCTCATCTCAACCAAAAAAAAAAAAATGGGCATAGTGGTATATATTTGGCATACATGCTACATCAGGAAGTATGTAAATAGTAAATAGTATAAATAGGTAGGCTGGGGAAATAGGAGAGTTTAACTTGAAAATATAAATGAAAAAAGGCTGAAGGCATGGCTTAACTAGAGAAACATCTGTTTAGAAAGCACAAGGCTTTGAATTCAAGCCCTAGAACACGCTCTCTCTCTCTCTCTCTCTCTCTCTCACACACACACACACACACACACACACACACTTCTCTAGTTTACTCTTTTAAAATATGCTTTATTTTTAGTAACAGTGTATCCAGAGAAAAATTGTATAGAAGAGAGGTTTCTACATATTCTTAACTCTTTTTTGCTTTTATTAACATTTTGCATTAATATTATACATATGTTATAATTATGAATATTGATACATTACTATTAAGTAATTGCATTGTGAAAGTTAAGTGAGAAGAATTCACACAAAGCATTTAGCACGGTGCCTGGCATATAGTCAATAAACATTCAATACTGTTGTATGACCCCTGGTACTCCACTTCCTACATAGTAAGTGGTGGTTGTCCAGGCCAACTGTGAATACTACTAGGCTCCTAACTATGGATTGTCCTTGCAGGACTGGGATAAAGAAATAAGTATGATTGTCACTAGTATGTGAATGGTGTTTGAAGTCATATGTATAAATCGGATTATCTAGAGGGACCTTGTGTAATGACAAGTGTGCACGAAGATGACACTGGAGAGTGCCTTATTTTCTTCTAGTTATTAAAAAAAATTCTAAAAATGTGCTGTGGTAAAGAGATGCGGACATTAGAGTTAAATTGCCTTAAAGGCAGGAATCTGATTTATTCCCAAACTGTGGAGATACAGAATGCAATAGATACCAAACTGAACATAAGAGCTAGCCTGGCTGTATTTGTAGTAGCCCTGCTCTGCCCTTGCTAACGAGCCAGCAGTATGGAAAGACACACTGCAGATGTATGTGTTTTATTTTCTCACAAAGAATGACTGATGGCTTTCTTTTGCAAGTTGCACTCTTATAATTCTAATTGTAGATGTGAATCTGGCAGCCTTTTTTGATGTCTAGGAACCATTTCTGAATCTATTTTATTAAAATAGATTGGGGCTAAAATAAAAATAGATTTCTATTTCTAAGTAATCACTTAAAATTAATGTACTAATTGATGACAGTAGGCATAGGTCTTTGACAAAATTCTTACAAAATATATTTTTATTAAAGACTGAATAGTAATTTTGTGAAATAAATAATGTATTTGGACACAGGGAGCCAAATTTTAAAATTAAAATTACATCTCAATTGTACTTTTTTTTTTTTGGTTGTGTCTGGAACTTGACTTCTGGACCTGGGCACTGTCCCTGAGCTCCTTTTGTTCAAGGCTAGCATTCTTCCACTTGAACCACAGTGCCACTTCTAGCTTTCTGTGATTGGAGACAAGAGTCTTACAGACCTTTCTGCCCTGGCTGGCTTTGAACCGTGATCCTCAGGTCTCAGCCTCCTGAGTAGCTAGAATTACAGGCATGAACTTCTGGTGCCAGGCTTTGCTACTTATTTATTTATTTTTGTTGGTTGTGGGGCTTGAACTCTGGGCCTGGAAGCTGTCCCTCAGCTCTTCAGCTTAAGGCAAGCGCTCTACCACTTGAGCCACAGCACCACTTCTGGTTTTCTGGTAGTTTATTGGCAGTATGAATCTCAGGGACTTTCCTACTCAGGCTGGCTTTGAACTGTGATCTTTGGATCTCAGCCTCCTGAGTAGTTGGGATTACAGGAATGAGCCACTGGCGCCTGGCTTTTGCTACTTATTTTTAAATAAACCATGTGTCTTGTATCTGTCCTCTGTATGTTAAAGGATTGTCAAATTGATCAAATTGTTCCTGGTCAGGAAAACTATTTCATAATACAAGGAATGCTTGCAAGCCTGGGGGATATTTAGCTGGAGAGAAATGCTTACACGAATCATTCTAGTTTACATCACGTATTTCAAGGGCGAATGCATGAAAAAGAATAGATGTTTTCTGTTGTTCCAGAAGGAAATAATTTTGATTGTAGCAGTGAGTGAATTTTCTCATTTCAGATCACAATGGCAAAAATTTTTTTCCTATAAAGTCATTAGTGTATATATCTAATTATTATTATTATCTAATAATTATCTAATTATTATTGTCTAATCTATCTAATCTTTAACTAGGAGTAGATTAGATCAGAGATTGATAATTTACATCCTGTGGCAAGATCTGGCTTACTGCTTGTTTTGGAAGTTTTACTGGAGCACAGCCACACCCATTTATTTATTATTTTGTTTATGGTTGTTGGGCAAAGTTGAGTTTTTGCAACAGGAGTCTGGCCATGTAGTCTAAAATGTTAAAAAGCTTGCTGAAGCCAGGCCCCAGTGGCTCATACCTATAATCCTACTACTCAGGAGGCTAAAATCTGAAGATCTGGTTCCAAGCCAGGCAAGAGAGAC